ACTGTCTCCAGTCTCCATAATTGTCTCCCGTCTCCATAATTGTCTCCTGTCTCCATAATTGTCTCCAGTCTCCATAACTGTCTCCTGTCTCCATAATTGTCTCCTGTCTACATAATTGTCTCCTGTCTCCATAATTGTCTCCTGATTCCATAATTGTCTCCAGTCTCCATAATTGTTTCCAGTCTCCATAATTGTCTCCAGTCTCCATAACTGTCTCCAGCTGAGGTTGAGAAAATAATCTAAAATACAGTTTTCATAAATAAATTATAAAATTATTACAAATTTTTTAAAGGTTTATTGAAGCCAAATGTTGATTTTTCTAAGCGTTACAGGAAACGATACTGAATCTGTCGGCGTAAGGACGTGTCTAAATGCTGGAACAGACGCCATCATCTTAAGGAGTTTGTTTGTGAGAACATCGTTGAGTTTGTTCGTACCGTGAAGATCTAAGACTCCCTCTCTGACGGCCAGCGTCTTGGCTCCGTAAACAGGAAGTTCAGGTGAGCGCAGGTGTCCGTGCAGCGTGATGATGGCTTTGTGCTGGAACGGCGCCGCCTCCTGACCGACCTGAAGCCGCCCTCCGTCTGTGATCAGGATGTTCTCCGCCTGCAGCTCCACGTCCGCCTCGTCGAACAGCAGCGTCCCTCCTGAGCACCGACAACCAGCAGTTTACACACAGATCACCTGACGCCGGACAGATAAGGAGCTCATCGAAGGACAGCCATGATGTCGTGTCAAGATGTTCATAAACATTCAGCCCAAAATGAACATCTGGGCTCACAGAGAACGGTGATCCTTCACCTCGCCTCAAAGTTCTGACCCACTTTCAGCCCAAACAGGTTCAGACTTCTCAGTTTCAAATCACCGTTTGGACCTCGGCACCAAGTCTGCTGTGTCTTAAAGAAAAGTCCAGCAGGCTCTTCCTCTCAGCACGTAGCTGCAGGAGGACCGGAGCAGCTGCCTCCACACGGCTTCACAGCCGGGCCACGTGGTCCAGGTTCCCGACCCGTTTGGTCCACAAACCGTTTAAACACAAGAAGACTTCTTTAAGGACCGTTTCATCAGATGAGGCCAGAAGAGTTTTAAATTTATTGTTCTTTTCTTTTCTTTCCCAGTTTACAACATTTAAGTGATTAATGTTTATTAAAGCTCAGCATTAACGCGGCTGTTCTGCAGTTTAAAGTTTATTCTGGTTTTATCAGCTTCTAACTACTTCAGCACGTTTTCAGCTGATTGAATCATAAATATCAAAACATTTGGCCTCTTCAGGGGACGACTGCTCCGACCTTTGACCTTTATGTCACTTTCTAATTCTTTAACGATCTGAAAATGTTTATTTTAGTTGCTGATCAGTTTCAGTGCTCGACGTTCACACAGAGATTCATAAGTGAATTCATCACGTTTAGGATCGTAACTGTTTGTTATCTGGACGTTCAAAAACTTCTTTAAAAAGTCTTCAGCTGATCCAAAACGCTGCTGCAGGTTTCACGAGTTGATGGGAGAGATCATATCTCTTTAGCTCCATCTTATATTACAGATCTTATTGCTCCATATTTTCCTAACAGAGCACTTTGCTGTCAGACTGCAGGTTTACTTGTGGTTCCTAGAGTTTCCAGCAGCAGAATGGGAGGAAGATCTTTCAGTTCTCAGGCTCCTCTCTTGTGGAACCAACTTCCAGTTTCTGTCCATGAGACTGACACATTGTCCAGTTTGAAGACTGGGATTAAGACTTTCCTTTTTGATAAATCCTATAGTTAGGGTTGGCTTGTTATGCTGCTATAGACTTAGACTACTAGAGGACAAACTGACCTCACCTCCTCTCTGCTGCTGTTTTACTTGTTCTACTCTTCCTGGTTGTGTTTGCAATTATTTTTATCTTAACATGTTTTTTGTCTTTCCTCCTATAGAAACTACACCTGGACCATAGAAACAACACCTGGACTATAGAAACTACACTTGGACTATAGAAATTACACCTGGACCATAGAAACTACACCTGGACTATAGAAACTACACCTTGACTATAGAAACTACACCTGGACTATAGAAACTACACCTGGACCATAGAAAGTTCACCTGGACTATAGAAACTACACTTGGACTATAGAAATTACACCGGGACCATAGAAATTACACCTGGACCATAGAAACTACACCTGGACTACAGAAATTACACCTGGACCATAGAAATTACACCTAGACTATAGAAACTACACCTGGACTATAGAAACTATACCTGGACTATAGAAAGTTCACCTGGACTATAGAAACTACACCTGGACCATAGAAACAACACCTGGACTATAGAAAGTTCACCTGGACCATAGAAACTACACCTGAACCATAGAAACTACACCTGGACCATAGAAACAAAACCTGGACCATAGAAACTACACCTGGACCATAGAAACTACACCTGGATTATAGAAAGTTCACCTGGACCATAGAAACTACACCTGGATTATAGAAAGTTCACCTGGACCATAGAAACTACACCTGGACTATATAAAGTTCACCTGGACCATAGAAACTACACCTGGACCATAGAAACTACACCTGGACCATAGAAACCACATGGACCTGTCGTTCTGTGTCTGTTTCTACTTCCTGTCCTCTCAAACCAGCCGGTTGAAGCAGATGTTCACTCGTCCTGATCCTGGTTCTTCTGGAGGGTTCTTCCTGTTAAAGGGAGTTTTTTCTTCCCACTGTCTCCTCTGTTTTTGCTCAGGATGAGAGACTCTGATGAAGTGAAGATTCAACAGGATCTGCTGCTTCCTCAGATGCAGAACTTTTACTGACTGTTTTTAACGTCTGTGAATGTTTCTGTTCAGAGACCTGAGACGACGTCTGTTGGAGCTTCAGAAATAAACTGAATTAAATTAAACTGGTGATTTTGCAGAAAATTCTAATTCCTCTAGTTTGTGTTTCAGTTCTTCAGGACTTTTGTCAAAAGAAAGAGTAAAAAACAAGTTGAATAAAACAAAGACAGCTTGTACGTGTGAGCCTGGGCCCACCTTGGATGAGCAGCATTTTGAGGACGGGGGTGCTGGAGTCCAGCAGGACGGTCTGGCCCTGAGTGATGATGACGAACGAGCCCTGCTCAGGTGGAGACAGCCCCCCCCAGGTGAACCGGGACGACCACACGTCGATGTAGAAGAAATTTGCGTTATCCTGCAGAGAACAACAAACCAAACGCCGTTAGTCTGATCAGAGGTGGTACCTCCGACGCTCTGGGCTTGTGTCTGGATCACCGTCTTGGCGATGCCGCGGTCTCCGATGCTGACTCGGACTTTGGCCTCCTGAGCCCGACTCTGAGCGTTGGTCACACAGATGATGTGTGTGGCGTTGGAGGACTCCACGTCGCACACCGAGCCGGCGATCGCCACGCTGACTTCGTTGGTGTTGGTGCTGTGGTGAAGTGGAACGACAGAGACGACACGGACAGACAGACCGTGAGACAAAGTTTCAAGACGGAGCGTGACGTTTGTGAGGCCATGTTTGGTTTAGTGTATTTTAAAAACGTGTAGTCGTTAAACATGCGGTGTGAGGCGTTGACTCATTTCCTCCGTTTGTTAAAAATGTTTGAAACGTGTTTCCAACGACCACACGTCCTCCCTGACCGTCAGTCATCGGCTGAGGCCCACGGTCTGGGTGTGTTCGTGTCTTTGAGACCTGAAACCGGAGCCGGTGACGGTGAGCCGGGTGCCCCCGGCCGTGCCTCCTCGCCGTGGAGACACCTCGGAGATCACCGGAGTCAGCTGAGATCTGTAGGTGAAGCCAGCGGAGACGTTGACCGCTTCCAGAGGGTTGATGACAGAAAGCACACAGCTCAGCTCCGACTGGGAGCCTGAAGAGAGGAAGACAAGACAACGCTGAGACGACGTGTCCTCGAGCAGGACAACGCTGAGACGACGTGTCCTCGAGCAGGACAACACTGTGACGACGTGTCCTCGAGCAGGACAACGCTGAGACGACATGTCCTCGAGCAGGACAACACTGAGACGACGTGTCCTCGAGCAGGACAACGCTGAGACGACGTGTCCTCGAGCAGGACAACGCTGAGACAACATGTCCTCGAGCAGGACAACAATGAGACAACATGTCCTCGAGCAGGACAACACTGA